CTCACATGGGATAGACGCGATGCTCCTCAGACGGGCAGCAGGGTTCCGTAATAGCCACAATCGCACACTCACATCATCCAAACAGGAAAACCCAATAACAGCTATAAACTAGAGCCAATTATCGTTATATCTGATCGCCAATGTAAGTTCCCAAGGACTCCGACAATGAAAGCACATCTATAGGCACTCCAAGCACGAAAGTATTCGGAGAGTTGTGAGATTCATCATAGTTATTCTAAAAGATCCTGATTAATGCCCCGCAGGAGCATTTAAATGTGGATTACAGACTGATACACACAAAAAAGTTGGTAACCCGAACTTTGGATAACAGCAAATAATATGCGTATTTAAGCACTTGAATAAGTCAAGTCAAGAAAAGCTTTATGCACCCAAAGGGTGCATTTTCAGCAGTAAGTCATAATAACTAGAGTAATCGAATCCCACTAATTCTTTAGTGCATTTTCCTAGGCAGTATGCTTGGACATACGCTGCATTATCAATAGTGGTACAGTGGATAACCACAGGGTGGAATCAGACAGTTTGTGATGACCAAGATTCCCCGTCTGGAAGCAATCAAGCATTGACCTGTTCAGATATGAAACTGGGTAACGAAATCCACAGGGAAAAACGGCATTCCCAGGAGAATAATAAGTAATAATGGAAGCACTGAAAACATATGGAATCTTGTGTTCGAAATAATTGGATGAGAATCGTATTATTTCTTTCACTAGAAGTGTATGACATTCTACCATTTAAAGAAGACCAATGCAGTTCAGTGAATTTCTGAGCTTTCATTGATCTGTTCTGCATGCTGGAATGTTCAGTAATAGTTGATGGAAGCCAAACGGTACCAGCGAAAAGTACGCACTATGTTGTTGATCGAAAATTCCCACACCTGAGCTTTAAATGCACGACTCGTAACTTCAATTTCTCTGAAAGTCTCAGTATGGTCAGTATGGTCTCGAATAGCCTCTGCTGAAGAAGCCCTAATCACTACCTTCCCGTAGCGGGGATGTTTTCCTACCAAAGACTGAGGACTAAAAGCCAATATCCGTTGTTATAACCAGGTCGGTGAAACACTGGTAGTTTACCCAAGAAAGTTGACTGTAAACCCCATTTGAAACCAACCAAGAAGAGGCGTACGAACCACATGCACTCACACCTTCCTGGTTGTGGAAGTGGTCACTTGCTCGATTGGGTACCGAGGTGTATTAGGAACATTGGACGCTTGATCCTGTTTGGAGGGTGCATAATCCGATGAACTGGACACCGGCCCCTAATGAATTGGGGTTTTCACAGACCGTCCCGCTATCTTGTGGGTTAGGCTTTGATCAGTCGAGGACTCCGGTTGTGAAATCAATGGGAAAACTAACCTGAGAAACCTGGTAGTCATCCGCCCACTAACAAATCATGTACTTTTTGCTTCGTCAGATTGATTAGTCTGCCAAGATTTGTTTGGCACACAATCTGGATTCAAACACATGAAAAATAAAATAATAATCATAATACATAATTTCAAAATGAGAACGGCGATTTTAGATGAAGTATAAATTCACTGCGAGATATCAAGAGAAAACAGGTTCGAGTGAACGACATACCTGTTTCCGGGTTTCGAGGATCGATGCTGCGCAACGGATGATTCCATTTTGACCTGAGTATTCCCAAACGGAGTGACAACAAAGTTTTTCGTGGGCTGAAAACTGGTGGAAGCCACTGTGTCACTGACCAAATTCAAGCCAGTGGTGGTAATTGTTGAGGTAGTGGCAGTGTAAGATAACGATGGTATAATGATGTTTCCAGGTGCAGCACAATTCGCACTGCCACGTTCAGAGGTGATTATCGAGAACGCAGTATCCTGGCTAGATGAATCTATGGCCCTTGGTGATAAGTGACCAGCGGATATGGAGCCGCTAGAACCACAAACAACCCCATTGGTAACCGAAGACGAGCAAGACGGAATGGCGTTGTATGCATCTGGAGTACACCGGGAAAAGTCTCCAGTATTCGGTTGCGTTGCTGTCACATTTGGTTGAGTGGAGCTAACTACGACCGCTGGTGGTGCAGATAGCTAAAGAAAATCAATGGAAAGAAATGGCGGTTAGGCAAGATGAAGCAACCAAATCACAATGATTCAATGGTCACTCTGTTCGAAAAATATTTACCTGTACACGGACATTCGGTCCAACTTCTTTCAAATAACGTGGCAAATCTTCTGGTCGATGTTGGTAGAATGAGGACATAGTAGAGCGAGAACTGACCGCCGGTCCCGGTGAGGTGCTAATCGACACTACTGTAGTGGCAGTGAGATGCAATCCGTGCACAAACAGCGATGGGCAACCGTTCACACCGGTATCATTTTGCATCACACCACTAGGAGGGGAATGCAGTAGGGAGGAAGAAGCGTGTCTCGCGCGGGGGTGCATTCGAGACCCCGTTTGACTGTTCCCTGAGGATTGACGTCCATTACGGGACAGGGCCGTTGACGGTGTGTGCACCAGACCACCCACGGGTGGACTCTTAACGTCGCTGACGAAGATTTCATTATTGACCGGCTGCGGACAGTTAGGTGTCGCAGAGTAAACCGTAAATTGGTTGTAAAGCTGATGCTGAATGAGACGCTGTAATAGTAAAATGAAAACATACCAAGGAAGAATGAGGCTAGGAAAGTGAAACAAGAGATATTGCAAAAAATGAACGAAAGAAACTGGCACCACCAGTTTAGAGTGTTCTGGTGGCTCCCACGTTACCGAACAACGGTAAAGAAGCACGCGCTGAGAGTGGCATTCTTTTTGGTTTCATGAGTATGCAAATGAAAAAACAAAGCGATGATTCTTAAAAACGAATCCTGTTCAGGAGAAAGACAGAAAAAGCCAAAGGAACAAGTTCGATTATTTTGCTTTGAAATAGTTAGTATTAGAAACAAGTAGAAGTTTTAAATTCTTGCTTTTCCTGGGGAAAGGAGTAAGAAAAAATTGTGGGAGTTAACCAGTTGACCCAAGTGAGAGACGTGTTAACGATGTTGGTCGGAGAGAATAACGGGCATGGAAAAAGCAGAGACGATCTCTAAATTGCAAAGTCTACTACACTGAAGATAGGAGAGCGGTAAAAGCGGTTAACGGGATTTGGAGGGACTGTCAACAAGCAAAATGAGATCACTGTTATCAGTCTGAGTCGCGCCTTCTAGGAATTAAAAATATCTAATCGCTCCTTTAACCTACAGAAGAAATTCAAAAGTACGAGGTGTAGAACGGACAGCAATTCATAGTAACCAGTTCAGGGTATTAAATTCCACTGAAGGGAATACTACTTTGTCAGATTGATTTGCTAGCTTCTCCAAGACCCTGGAATATTGCGAACATATCCAGTAATGATCCAGGTGTCAGGACATGAGACGGAAACGCGACGATAATTTCAAATGAAAGAAGTTGTAGGTGTAGAATAAATGAGATGTTTCAATCTTCACATTCGTAAACAGGATGATCTTATAATGACAAGTCGGAATAAGACCAACAGTACGAGCATACTCATCAGTATGATCATGGATTTGTATGCTTAATCATGGCATTATAGCGGCTATTTTACACGGCCAAAACAGCAGTATGTAAATTGACTTAATGTCTACTTATACGCCCAGTCCAAGTAATTAATTCGCTGCAACTGGATGCACTTAAAATGGAAAAACAAGTCAGGAGGCAGGAAACCCTTCGATGCATTTCAACCGAGTTAGATATTCATTCATATAGCCGATGATTCGAGACTAAATTAATCGAAATGAGGCATAGATAATGAATGGAAACTGAGTTGTAGACGCACCGTCAATCTGTCTCTTGATAAGTCTCACAGAAAACATAATTCAAGCCTGAGAGGTGTGCATCCAGCGCGAAACAATTGCATCCCAGTGAAAATAGTCCAGAGGGATAGTATTTTCTCATGAAAAATGCCATCTTTCCATTCAAATCATAAATTTTCGGTTGATATAGAACACAAGACGAATTCATTATTGATAAAAGTGAGTCAATCGCTGAGAAAATAAAAGCTTACGACCTGGGTTACGAGGTTTAGAGTCAATTCATAGAAGGCCTCAATAAGAAAAGTATGATGTTGGACTGAGACAGATCAAAATTTCTATCATAACGAGAAAGAATTTCGAAATAATACTGACCTTGCGTTGTTCTATCAGAAGTCTTTGATTCGCGACTTTGTTACGTTGAGTGGCTGCCGCCTGT